GAATAACAATAACTGCCACTCTGTATCAAATACTATGCTCCATGATTTATATAGAGGACAACCACAAAATTGTTTTTCCAAACTGTGACATTTCTGAGAGTAGAAGTTAATAATTATGCTGAGACACTGGGTGTAAACTGGTACTGCCCTCAGCAAAGGAGGCCGTATGACCACTCTGTTTATTATCTTCGCTCTTTCCAATAACCCTGTGAGTTTAAATATCATGCACATTTTCGATGAAAAAAAAAAAGGGTCGGGGGACCTGAGATAGTGATTTGCTCAAAGCCAGGATAGCCGTAAGTTCCATAAACCCCTCCCCCAGTCCAGCTGATAATTGTATTGTTTGTTTTAATTACTCAAAGGACCAAAGGATAAAGAACACTGTGAGGAACTCAGTACTTTATAGGTATTTTCATTTTTATTTTTGTTGGCTGATGTCTCTGCCTGTTCTTATCCTTCTCCACCCTCTCTCCTTCCCTCCCTGCTCTTTGTCTCTCTGTTTCTCTCAGTTACATACACACGCGTGCTGGAGAGCACCATCCCCTCAGCCAAGGCCTGTTTGAAAGACCTTAAGTATTCACAAGTCTTTTCCATCATTATTGCAAATAATACATAGATAGTTCTGTGCCCTATGATTATTTGATTAAATGTATACAGACATTCACAAAATAGGATTATAGTAAAAAGACACATTTCTTCTGTTAGGAGTGTTTTATGTAGATTTTCTTTAGTTTCAAAAGTAAATACAGTAAATAAAAAAGTATGAGTGATGTTTACTTCTTTTAGAATGGTAGTTCACTTGCCTTGCTGAGGTTTCTCTGATATATTGTTTTTCTGTTTAGGAAACAGTAGCAAACTCACTAATTACCTTTAGCAGTGAGATCAGGGAGAATATTTCCAGGGATAATGGAAATCTATCTATAATTCAGGTATCTCATTTACTTGTTAGCTCTGGCCTGCTCCACCATAAAATCATGTACAGGACTGGCAGCACAAAGATCAATTTTGACTTCTTTGCCTGCTTTTGCATGCTGCTTGATGAAGTTGCCAACAATAATTGAAACAGAAAAGCAAACAGCAGTAGGCAAGAAGAGATGACCTGGATAATTTTACAATCTGAGAACAGCTCAGACATTTGAGAAAGTTGCCAATATTTAGAGGTTTCAACTGATAGAACATGCAAAGATTCTCCTATAAAAGACAGCTGTTTTAAAACATTTTAATCCCATGTCTCAGTAGTTTACTTGTGAGTACAGTTTAAGGAGTCAAATAGGTTACATATGTCCTAATCATCTTATTAGTAACTTCCATATTTCTGAGTCTTATGTGATATTAATAGTGAACTGGTCTCAGATGTGAGTTTGGGCTAATGAGAAATGACATTTTACTTCGTTAGGGGCTGTTCTGCAGACTGATAGACACAGATGTAAACTTTTTGTGCAGATTCTGTTACTGGTACTAAACCTTACCTTTATTTAGTACTTTGTAGTTTGCCCAGCACCTTCAAGCACATTACCTCATTTCATGAGTGAGATGCACTAATTATTAATTAGCTAGCTTCTTCTTAAATGCTCTTGGTTTAGAATAAGACTTAATTCTTCCTAAATTCAGTTTACGTGCAGAAGATACTCACATGGCATCATGTAGGTATATTTTGAGAGGTTACAGATCAGATTTAAATGAACAAATAATGATATTAGTCCATGGTATTTACCTTCAAATAGAACTTTTTTAAAAAATGCAATATAGCTTGGTATTTATCACTGAAGAAATACAGAGGTAAGTCTGTCCAAAAACATATGTATTATGATTTTCTAGATTTATTTGTACCCTAGAATTTCTGTTAGTCCTTTTTAAAAAAACATTTAAACATTTATAATTTTTCATAATGTGATGCCTTCTGGGAACCTTCCACCATTTGCACACGACCCCAGTGCCGAAGATTTCGCAAGCAACCACTTCCTGGAAACGTGAATGCCATTTGTGGAACAAGATAATACACAACCTCATTTTTTTTTCATACTAATACTAATGTCTTTCGTTTGCTAGATCCCATTCATATTCCTTTTAACATTGCTCCATCACAGAACTGCCAGCTATGTGAACAAGATAATGCTTTCTCTTTCTTGAACTGAAAAAGGTTGCATCTTCTAGGCTCGGAGGAACAATGGGAATAGGTTTTTCCATAAGAACATCCTTACTTACCTTTCAATGCTGGATTATACTGCACATCTTACTACCTAAGCTTTAATTTTTCTTGATGATTGCTCCAACATGCAACAGTGTCAGAGAAGCAAGGCAAGCACTATTTAATACCTGTTTACCGAACATCAACTGAGCACAACACAGACTTTTTTGGGGGGAGCTTCATTAATGCATCCCACCTGGATCCTTCATCCAGGCTCTTAGAGCTTCCCTTCCTTCCTGGTTAGATTCAGAATTCGCGAGCATTAATGCAGAAGTTTCTAGGACTTAAAGGATCCTAGGGAGTGATATCCAATGATGTTTCAGAGACAGAATAGGCTCTAGAGAATCTTATTGTGGGAAAATGTGTTTGATAGATTCTGTTGACTTTAACTTTATGGATTTGTACTTTCACTACATCAGAGAACCATCAGAAGTACAGGCAGTGGTCTGTAAGAACATTTTCAAATATTTCTTCTAGCAAATGGCTGAAGGAGAAGAGGAAATGTAAGCTATTTACCCTGGAACACTTGACCAGATTTCAGAATATGGGGCAGCAAGCTTTTCAGGCAGGCATTCCTTACATTAGAAAAATGTGAAGAGGAGTTGCCGTGTTTATCAGAATTTTGCACATGGGACAGATTTAAAGCCATGTGTCTTTCATTCTAAGTGGTTCTCTCACTCTTCTAAATACTTGGAAGATTAAAAAGAAGGGCTATGTGTGTCTGTCTGTCTGTCTCTCTCTCTCTCTCTGTCTCTCTCTCCCTCTCTCTGTCTCTCTCTCCCTCTCTCTGTCTCTCTCTCTCTCCCTCTCTCTGTCTCTCTCTCTCTCCCCTGGCCTGTCTCTGTCTCTCTCTCCCCGCCTTCCCTGTGTGTGTGTATGTGTGTGTGTGTGTGAGAGAGAGAGAGAGAGAGAGAAAATGAATTATATATTTCCATAAGTTAAATTTAATGATCAGATATCTCACCTATATTCTTACACTTTTCTATTTTTCACAGAACATACAACCACAGGCATTTAAATGTTAGTCACCCAAAACTCCAGATGCTAAGCAGTGAAAGTTTATATTCTGCCAGCATATCAGACTCTATAATGAGTCTGATTTGGTTTAATTCCTTTCTACTGTTTAGTCATTTGATGAGCTGCAGATGGAAATTTAAGCCAAAGCCATAATATTTCAGCTAATACTTTTTTTGCTGCTGTAAGAATTTGTTGTCATGTCAATTTAAGGGAGTTGAAATCTTTTTTGAGAAGGCATTCAAATCTGCATTAAGTGCTTTTACCAACTCTAATTTGATATACAACTCTGACTGCTTCTGCTGTTCTTAATCAATTGCAAAGTGCAAAGTAGTTTAGCAGTGGAAGACCGCTTTGAAATTCCAGGATTTCTCAGCCAGTGCCGCAAGCACAACATTATGGAAATATACAATTAAATTTACATTAAAAATTTTTCCTATGCTTAAGAAACACTAGGCCAACTTCTTTGAGCTTAGCCTTAAATAGGTAAATATGTATTTTGGCAGCCATGAAAAGAATAGGGTATTAGATTAACTAGGGCAATACTTTGGTAAAATTCCATTGGAATGTTATGTTTGTGCAGGAGAGATTTGGCCAATCAATAAAATGGTTTATTTTGTAAGTCAAATCAATAAAATGTTTCAACTGTACAAATACAAGATTGAGTTTTTCTTCCCTGTTTTTCTGTCATTTTTCTGTGTGTGACCTTGGCTGTCTCATTCTCTCATTTTCTTATATGAAAGGAACAAACCTGACATTTGTCTGTCACTGATTTATGTGAAGGGCTTTGAATACTTCCACTGAAAAATGAGGTTTTGGGAAACATCATGATATTCATCAGTTATTTCTCCTGCACCATTAAAGCCAGACTGAAAGAGGTTGCATTGTACATTATTGAACTTGACTGATAACAAGAGGCTGGATCTCGAGCCTGACTTTCTAAGGCTGGTCAGCTTCTTGGACTAGCTTGCTTTTCAGTATTCTGAATAAGAAAAAGTTGTCACACTACACAGCCTATCAGGTTCTCTCTGTTGTTACTTTTTGCAGTAAAGTCACTGTATATCTAACTTAGTAAATCTGAACAGGGTTGTCTCCAATCTGAAGCATTAGTATTCTTGGTCTGGAAACAGGCATTTTATTTTTCTACAAAGTGAGATATGGTGTTTATGGAAATTGCTGGCATTCTGAAGGTTTTTAAATATATGATGATACAGCTAAAGGACACTCTCCTAGGCTTCAGTAGGTATCATGTTTCAGTTGAACCATGTTGAAATAAGAAAGGTCATAAGAATGCAAGAGGCTATTAGAAAATCTGTCTGAAGCATCGTTTGGTTCACCTTTACTTAATGCCTACAGCTTAAGCTCTGTGACAGCATTGAAGAATTTTAAAACAGAAAGTTGCTCTAGGTGAACAGATTGCCTATGAACGTAGCAGACTGTAACCAGTAAGTTTACAACTTAATGTTTACAAGTAAGAGCACCAATTAAAAGACAAATTGAAGTTTTGTTTTTTTCTGAAGTCTGCTTTTCAACTTTTAGTTTCTGAACACTGCATGTTTAACAAATCTCCCCTAAAAATGAGGCCTTACAATTGAATGACAACATGGACTTAGCTATAGTATCACTTGTTCTAACACCCCTAAAATTAATCTACTTTTTTTTTTTTTTTTTTTGAGACAGAGTCTTGCTCTGTTGCCCAGGCTGTGCAGTGGTGCAGTCTCGGCTCACTGCAACCTCTGCTTCCCGGGTTCAAGCAATTCCCATCCCTCAGCCTCCCAAGTAGCTGGGATTACAGGTGCCCACCACCAGGCTCTGCTAATTTTTTTATATTTAGTAGAGACAGGGTTTCACCATATTGGTCAGGCTGGTCTTAAACTTCTGACCTCAAGGGATTACAGGCATGAGCCACTGCTCCTGGCCAATCTTCTGCTTTCCTAATGAGAAATTCAGCTTCCTTAGGGAGTTTTGAGGGCCACATACTGTGTATTTTGTTACACTTTCCTCATGATTTGGTGGTGGCCCAGAGGCCTGTTGTCAGCTTCTCATCCAGGTTGAGGGTGCAAGACAACCTGTCTTTCTTCTGTTTTACTTGACTGAATACTGCTGCAAGAAAATAGGAAAATCGGAGAAGTTTTTGTGTCTGGCCTGCTGATTTTATGTTTCATTTATAACAAACCCTCAGTGCTTATCATTATAGGAAAGCTAATCCAATTCATGCCAATTGAGAGATTAATTTTGAAGGTGTGTAAAAACCTGGCCCATTTTCATCTGGCAAAGTAAACTACTTTGTTCTCTCAACTAACAATTTAAAATGTTTGAGCTTTAAGAAAGTTCAAAATTATAAATGAGAATGAAGATTCTAGCACATTTTAAATCAGAAAGTCCATTGTATCTTAGCTTCTTTTCCTTTCTTTTGTTATCTGTTAACCATACCAATTCTTAGTACCACTTTCTAGAGGGGAAGAGGAATTGACATTGAAATTATATTACCTATAATTAGTCAACTACTTTATGAAAAGAAGGAAGAAAGGAGGAAGGTAAGGAAAAGAAAGGGAGGGAGAAGAGAGAAAAAATACAAATTTTAAAAGATTAATGTAGGATTTTGAAATTAGCGGCTTTCATTTCTAAATCCCTTGTTACTAATCAGAATTCACTAACATACAGGTTTACTGTTATGGTTATTACATAGAAGATATTTTTGCCATTTAGTTATTTGAAAGATGTGCCATTTTAGAATACTTTTGCTGTAAATAATAGAATAACCTCATAAGGGCTGAAAGAATGAAGACTTTTAATTAACTTGCCCAACCCACAGCCTGGAGATGAGAGGTTCCAGGTGGGCTTAAAAGCTCTGAGATGCTCTAGACCATCCAATCTTTGGACTGGTCACTACATAATCACAGGATGGTTACCTCAGTTCCAAATATCTTTGCTTCACTTAGGAAGGAAGGAGGCCCAGGTTAGGGCTTTCTTCTAACAAAATTATTTTCATAAAGGCCCCAGCAAACTTCCTCTTGCTTCCCTCTGATAGGAACTGGGTCACATGCCTACCCTGGCAAAGTTGAATGGAATAGCCAAGTTGACTTAGATGAATCCTGGTTCAGGCCCTAGCGCTAGGCTGGGTCCACAGTGCTAAGCACTCTCTCATTTAAACTTCCTCACATCCTGTTCGGGCAAATACCATTTCGTAGGATAAAAACCAAATGTTAATAAAGAAATAAGAGGCATCCACAATCAGTAAGTGATGGTGCCCAGATTCCAATTTGCTTCTGTCTCTAGAGCCTCTCTTCTTGTTGGCAGCCCAGTGAGAGCCATTCCCACCCCACTTTTCCTCTGTTCATTTCCCACCAAAACATCTGCAAGAGCCGGATCCTTGCTTGCTCAGCCTTCAGTGCAAGCTTCTGGCTGCTATCCCAGTTGCTGGGGGGACTTCTGGAAAGGATTTTCTTCCTGGAAACAGGAGAAATGCATCTTTTGCCACCCTGATAGTCTTGCTGCTTCCAGCCTCTGCACATAGTTTGTGTAGGTGGCTGAAAAACAAAACAAAATTAGAATAATCATCTGAGAGGATTTTAAACTGAACTTGAGCCAAGTTTCCTGCCCTTAAGAGTGTCAAGTGAAAAAGATCTATATCAATTAATAATTGCAATAAAATATGACCAGTAATCAATCCCATGGAATATTAATTGTATATATGTAAGAGTGACTGTTATATTTTCACTATTTTTTCCCTATATTGCTGATAGATATCTCCAAAATAGGTTATTTTCTTACCAACCTGCTGGAGCTGTGACTTCATCTTTCTTATCCAGAACCCTTATTGGGCTTAGTTCCTCATCAGTAATGCTGAATTTTGCTATTAGTCAGTCCTAGGCAAGAAACTAGATTTTTTTTTTCAACCCTTCATTGTTGTTCTTCCAAATTGCTGCTAAAACTTGTCTTTTTTTCCCACCGCTAATGACATCTCCCACATCTGGGTCTCCATCACCATCACCTCTGCCAAGGCCTGGTTCCAGGCCTACGTCACCTCCCGTTGGAGTACTCACAGCTCCTTCTCGCTGGCTATCTGCTGCTACTGCCTTTCCAGGACAGTCTTTCTTGGAAGTCCTTCCCATAGCTTTGAGCATTGATCTTCACCTTTTTTACTCTTGTAATTGTGCATCAGTTCCCACAGGCAGGGATTGCATGACAGATGCTTTTGATGTATGTCAATGGTTGCAAGCACACTGAATAATTAAAATATCATTGTGAACTGGGAGTCATCATCTGAATTAATTTCATTGACGAATATATCCAAATCATTTGTTTTGTTAGGTTCAAGAGTTCTGTGGGATGCAGAAATGGAGTGAATCTTTGACTGGAAGTCTGTGATCCAAATACCAATGATATTCTTGGAGTATTAGTCACAGTCATTGGCCAGAGATGAGGTGGAAGTATTATTATGGTACTACAAACACAATTTAAGTTAAAGGGAGTAACATCTGCTACTCTTATTTTTATGCTGGTGAGATTTAAATAGGCTAGATTTGATAAGGCATAATGTAGAAATTGAGGAAAAGCTTGCTGAAAGTTAAGACCAAAAGCTAAGTATAATGCTCTGGTTAATATATTAAATGAGCTCAGGCAGAGGATACAACTACTCATGAAGTGTACACACTCCAGTGATGGAAGACCCACTCAACAATTCTCAAGTGTCCCTCGTACACAAAACAACAGCCATCAAACTGGCCCAGTGAGCTCATTAAATATCATATTGTTCTGCCAGACAAGGCCCTTGTTTTAGGGAGTGACTAAGAGACTGTCACTTCTTGGGCCAGGAGAATGAAAATCCTCTTCAGGCTCTGGGAAAAGGAGAGAGATAAATTGTTGACACTGTTCCTAAGGACATCCCTCCCCATTTCAGTCTATGTCTGATTGGTCTATGTTTTATATTGAAAGATGACAACTCAGCTGATTTATTCAGCTTAGTGTATTCATGAAGTTCTTGCTATTGACCCACACAAGAGGCAGAAAGTTAGAATGTTCTTTGTGGATAGTGCTAAGTTAATACCAAAGGATCTACCCTAGCCTGACACTGCTGAGGCTGGCAAAGTTATGTGAGCTCAGAAGTTGAATCCAAGCCTCTATCTCCTCCACTTTAACTGGAAAGTTAACACAGTCCGGAAGAGTCAGCCAGGAGTATCAGCTCGTTTGTGTTATTTGCTTTTATTTTTTCTTGCTGAAAACAGAAGTGAATTACACTCTTCACTGAATCCTGCTGCAGAGGAAAATGATGCAACACTGGTCACATGACACAAAGATAAAAGGCCCTTTATGCAAATCTAGTTCTTCATTGTGTTTCCATGTAAGGAGAGGTTCAATACCCACACTGCAAAGCAACACAAAATTGTAGTTCTTAGTCTTGGATACTTCCCTACATGGAGAAGCCATGATGTTTTACTTTGTTTCTGTCTTTTTAAAAAATTTTCTGCCTCTTTGACCACAAGATTCATTAATTTTTATGTAATATAAAATATAGAAAGAAATGATATAGGCTCATTTGATTTACTTTTGACTAAACAAGAGTTTTTTTCTACGTGATTTGTGACTGTTATGATCATGTGCTTTGCCTCAGCCACATACTTGCTATGTGACCTTGAGCAAGTTACTTAAATTCTGATTCCTAAAAAAGAGACTCTACCTGATATGTATTATATATCATAGATGTCATATATATGTATGATATATATATGCATAGCTACATCATCATATATATCTCTATAAATAAATATGTTTATGTATACCTACTCTAGAGCCATACAAATGAAGGAGTTGACATTCATGAAGTGTTTAGCATATTCACTATTGTACTTGCTCAAATAAATGGTAGCCATTGTTATTAGTAATTTGCCTAATTAATGCTTGTCTAAATCCTTCCGTAAGTGAATGGCTTTGTCATGTTTGTTCATTGCCAAGACAATATGACCAGGAACCCAAGAGTACTGGACCTTTTTTGTGACATCTTCTTGATTTGGGGATCTGAACTTTACCACTCCCTAGAGAGGACATTTTGGTAGCAGGGTACATTTCTGGAACTTAAGAAAGTTAACCATCTAAAGATGTCCAAGCTAGAATGTGTTCCTTCTAAATTCAAAGCTATGGATGGTGGCTGAAAATGTAACAGGGCTACAGTACGTGCTGCAGCTGCAGCATTTTCTATGAGCATTACATGAATTAAACCTGAAGCATGAGGTTTTTTGACTCAGACCAAACTCTCCTCCTGTGTATGAGTTCAAGTGTCACTCTGACTGACCCGCTTCCACTTCCCCATCCCCTACCGTTTCTACATACTTCCACTGTAGCAATCATGGCGTTGTGTAACTATGCTTTGCCTGTTTGAGTCCCATGGCTAAGAATCAACCGTCTTTTCATTTTTCTATTCTTCAGCACATCTTAGGGCACATTGGCTCTTGTGAATAACCTGTTAAATGTTGACTGAGTGAGTAAGTCACTTGAGTGGGTGTGGGAGGTCTATGGCTAACCTTCGCTAGCGTATCTCCCAACAGTGGATGAGCACCCAGCAAGCAGTAACAGTGTTTTGTCTTTTGGGGTCTTTCTTTTATTCCAAGCAGGAGCTTCGCATCTACTCTTAGCTATAGTTTCTCTTTCCTCTGTAACTGTCACCTGTTGTTTTGTTTGAGTGAATTCAACAAGCTAAATTGTACCATTGTGTTCACAGAACTCCAAGTAAGGAGAGGTTCAGTACCCACACTGCAAAGCAACATAAAATTGCAGTTCTTAATCTTGGATCCTTCTCTACATGGAGAAGCCATGATGTTTTACTTTGTTTATCTCTCTTTTTAAATTTTTCTGCCTTTTTGACCACAAGATTCATTAATTTTCAGATATGTCTGTGAAATGAAAAGTGTAGAGTGAAGTGATGTTTTATTTGTATAATGATCAGCCAGCTTGAGGAAACATTTTGGAGAGAAATTGTTTGTTTTTAAATCATTCAGCACTGTCAAGAATTGCTCTCTGTAAAAATATTAACTTTTTTCTACATTTACCTAAATGTCATTTATGTTACAAGAATTTAACTTACTTTTAAACCTTCTAGCCACTTTTGCCAAAATGGAAGGAAACCATGCTCAGTGAAGTCTACTGAGCTAGTTTAATTCTTTACTCACAAGGTCTTTTTTCATGAGGAGAATGCTGCTGTTTCATATTTATTTGGAGACACTGATGGCCTTACTAGAAAAAAAAAATCTGAATGTAAAGATTTTATCTTGATGATTAAGGTACATGTACTCAAATAGCTGCCCAAATTGGACATGGTTGAATAAGCTTCAGGAAGTGCCTGAGAGTGAATCAGCAGTGCTCCCTTTCCCTTCTTATCAATTATTAAATGCTTACATGTATAGGGTACTGTGGTGCATAGAGTACACAGTGATTCAGCAGGCCCAGCTCTTGTCTTCCCTGGGCTTCACAATCAAAGACAGCCTACTTTAGTGAAAGGAAAGACATAAGAAAGTTGCAGAGAGCATAAATAGGTGCTCTGCCTGTGTGAGGCATTGTGCTGGGACCTAGTGACACTGACCTAAATAATCATTTAGAGAAGGAAGTGATTCATCATTTTAAGAGTGGGGGAAGAGGCTGAGGGATAGTTACACAGAGGCTATGACGTTTGAACTTGAAGAATGTCACAGAGAATAGGGGGAAAGGCAGAGGGAAGAGCATGAGCAATTGCAGGGAGTTGGGGAGGTGCCTGAGGGAATGACAACTGGATCCCAGGGTCCCTGAAGGAGTGACAGATGGTGTATACAAAGGCAAGCTTGGTCAGATGACAGAGAGCATGGAAGGTCTGCTGAAAGGTCTGGGCTTATTCTAAAAGCACTGGGCAACCTCATCAGTTTTTAAGCAGGGAACAGCATGATCACATCCCAGCAAATTCAGGGACTGGAGAATGGCGGTAGGGCCAATCACTGCAAGGATGCCCCAGGAAAGAGACAGCAAGGACTCAAAATAAAGCAGAGGAGTTGGATAGAAGGGAACAGATTCAAGCCAGTTGTCTGGGGTAGAATTGCCAGGGTTTGTTGTCTTCCCTGGGTCCAGCCTGTGTTTCATTTTAATGTATGATAAAAACATTCATTATTATGTAGCTCAAGCAAGCTGCTTTAAAAAAATAGACAGAAGCAATTACTTGATGAACAGTGTTTTGAAATTATACCTTGGCTAGAAAATATGCTCTTTAAATAGAATATTTGTGTTGAGAGTAGAAGGTGATGGCAGGGTTCTCTCTTGACAATACTCAATTGACTTAATGCACCAAATTAACACAGTGGTGTTGTATAGCTGCTATGTAAAGCCCCTATTACATTCATTTTCTTTTTAGTTCCACGTTATAGATTGGCAGAGATTTTCTTTGGTTTTGTTTTTCAAGGAAATACACATTTTAGATGGCCAGATGACCTTAACTCATTTAAATGTCAAATAAATACCCAATGGATACTGCATAGCCTGTTGGATTACTTTGGGATAGTTTTAGAGTATCAATTCATCTAAGTTGTCTAACCACTTTTTACATATTACAATCTCTCAGAAAAAATGTAGCGTAATTTTCATAGAAAACAAAGGCATCTTGAATGCTCCCAAAGATAACACCTCTTAGGAAACAAGTTCAATATGATCTCTGTCAGCTGCTTTTATTGTATTCAGAATTCTATGTGACTTGGTCCTGCTATGACAGACAGGCATTAGCAATTGTTTCACCTTTCTTTCTGTCCTTCAGGGAGAGCAGTGTGCTTTCCTGGGCCATGTATAGTTGCATAATAAACCCCTCCCAGAGACAAGGTCTCCTAGCCTTAGGGGAGTTTTCAAAAGCATATTTTGCTCTGTTTGTATGCCACTTCCAACTCCATCCCATTAGGCTAGTTGAATCAGATTCTCCCAATGCCTCCTCCCCACCCTTATGCGAGGAAGTTTTAGAAATCGTATTATCATTATGGGCTGACCGGGCATGACGGTGACTACTTCAGAATGCCACACAGTACTCTGGTGACAACTATTAAGTAATGGCATTACATCAGTCATCACGTAAGAAAGTGAGACAGAGGTGCACCTAAGTCTTCATAATGAAACAACAGGTTGTAAACCTTACACCTGTACTATCTTGTACACTCTCAGTTCTCTGAATGAATATTGCAAAATAAAGAGACTTAAAATTAATTTTTAATTATATCCACTACATACAGCATTTTAAGAAGACCCTTACAACATAACATTTCAACAGACTCTGAAAAGCAACAATGAGGATTATTCAGGGAAACAAACCTATACCAGCACAGTTGAGAACAGAGGTAATAATTTAAATTGAGAGGTTATACAGCCATAAAACTCCATTCATGTAGATACATACTTAATTCTTTCCATTTCCTTCTGATTTGGGAGCTCAAAATTATTTTATCCCAGGAGGTAGTTGGGTGAGGAAAATGACCGTTTCCTTGTATTTGGTTAAGGGAGGTTTTGTGGTATAAGTGGGATTTTTACAGGTCTTTGAAGGAGAAGATGGGTTGGCAGGATTGAAGGAAAAGATATGTCAAGCAAAAAGTGTGTAGTTGGGAGAGGAAGAAGCAGAGGAAGGGAGTGGTGACACAGCTGGCAAGAGCAGATGGAAGGGAATTAAAGAACTACCTATCGGAATGAAAAAGAAGCCCAGCAAAAAACCCTACAAACATTTGCCAGTTTAGCCTTCTGCTAAATATTGACCTTGTTTTCCCTGAGTTTTCAGATGGATGCTAATTCTGTGAGACCAGTATACTATATTTACAAGATGTAAATGATTCTGCTGTAGTGGTACTGTATGTCAAAATAGTGGTTTTGCTAATACAAGTTTGTATCGGGAAATCACAATTTTTGAATTCAATTGTACTAGCTTTCCTTCTCATATACATGTGGTTTTAAAAAAATTAAAGATTTCAACAAATAAAACAATATTCATTGAGGGCCACTGTGTACAAAACACTGCAGCAGAAGCCATGATAATATGCAAAGTATGAGGTGCTTTCTACAAAGAAGGAGGCAAGGTGGAAATCCATGTGATATTCAGACAGAATGAAGATCTCAGTATAGGAGCTAGCACAAGACAATGAGTGATCAACTGTGATGTGGATGATATGGTTAGAGCTAGAGGAAGACTAAGATCTTTAAAAAATTTTTCCCTAGTCAGTTTTATATTTTTGGTTTTGTAATAGATTTGGCTGCTATATAGACATATTTAATATCACAAATCTCTTTTATGATGTTTTTGCTGCTCAACTTCTAGGAGGTATTCTGGTATAGCAGGAAGAGTACAAACTCTAGAGGTGGAAAAACTGTATTCTAGTCCTTTTTCCTGGCATTTATTGAGCGTACTGTCTTTGACACGTTACTTCAGTGTTCTCTTCTAGAGAGTGCACATAAAGGTGACCACCTCTCAGTCTCACCTGGCCTGATACTTTTTGAAGTGATTAACAAATGTTATTGAATCAATAAATCAATATTTCTAATCACTTATTTGTGAATATACATGACTACATGCATTTCCTAATTCATAAAGACACAACACTGTAGCTTCTTCTGAATAGTTTCTCATGTTTATCTACAAAATTATTCCCTGTGTGTCGATAAGTTTTATAAAAAAGCATTAATTGGTCTAAAACAGCATGCCCAGTGCAATAGGCACACATGTAATTCTAAGTTTTGTAGTAGCCACATTAAAAAGAGCGTAAGACCAGGTGCAGTGGCTTACGCCTATAATCCTAGCACTTTGGGAGGCCAAGGTGGGCAGATCACAAGATCTGTAGTTCAAGATCAGCCTGGCCAACATGGTGAAACCCTTGTTTCTACTAAAAATACAAAAATTAGCCAGGCATGGTGGCAAGCGCCTATAGTCCCAGCTACTCAGAAGGCTGAGGCAGAAGAATCGCTTGAATCCAGGATGTAGGGATGTAGGGGTTGCAGTGAGCTGAGGTCAGGCCACTGCACTCCAGCCTAAGTGACAGAGCAAGACTCTGTCTAAAAAAAAAAAAAAAAAGCCTAAAAGCATTGAAATTTTCATGATTTATTTTATCTAATTCAGTATATCTAAAATGTTGTTTCAACATGTAATCAACATTAACTGTTAATAAAATACTTTACATTCCTTTTTTGAGGAATTCAGATTTTAGTGTGTATTTTACACCATCAGCATATTTAAATTTGAGCACCAAATTTATCCAAAACACTTGATCTGTATTTGGATTTAATAAAATTTACAGTTGAAAAAGTACTTACATATATGCAAATTTGTCCAAACATACTTAAAACATTTCCAATAACTGAACCAAGTGTCAGTTTTTAAGTTTCAATTTAAATTAATAACAATCAAAATAAAAATTAAGTTTCTGGCCTGGGCCCGGTGGCTAACGCCTGTAATTGCAGCATTTTGGGAGGCCGAGGCAGACAGATCACCTGAGGTCAGGAGTTGAAAACCAGCCAGGTCAATATGGTGAAACTCTGTCTCTACTAAAAGTACAAAAATTAGCTGGGTATAGTGGTGCAGGCCTGTAGTCCCAGCTACTTGGGAGGCTGAGGTAGGAGAATCACTTGAACCTGGGAGGCGGTGGGTACACTGAGCTGAGATCGCACCACTGCACTCCAGCCTGGGTGACAGAGCAAGACTCCATCTAAAAAAAAAAATTAACTTTCTTAGTAACACTGACCACATGTCAAGAGCTAAATAGCTGTATGTGGCTAATAGCTACTGTATTAGACCACAAAGGTGAATTATTTCAGATTGTTTTCTCAGGAAGTCCCAGACTTAAACAGAAGAGTTATTTTATAATATAAAATAATGACATTCTGAGACTGGATTTTATTTTGGGAGTTGTCTCTTACCGACTATGCTTAGTAATGACTTCTGACACTCCTCAGCTTATCTTTTGGCCTGCTAGATTTATGAGATATCCTTTGAATGAAGCTCTCTAGGTTACTTGGCCTAAATAATGTATAGATACTAATAAAATGCTGCAGGACAATTGCTGTTTCTTCATGTATGCACCTGACTTCATCATCTTTGCAGACGAACTATCTGGGTCTCAGGCTGTGTTAGTTGTCCAAGGTCCCACGGCTCGTTAATGGCAACATCAGCCTATGAACATGGACTTACAGGTCCATAATGCCACAGAGTCCTTACTTGGCCTTATTTAAGTGCAGGTACATCCCTGATGCCCCACTGTGAACACTTAGAGTCTTCCCTGAAGGAGTATGCTTTTTTGGGCTATGTTTTTTAATTCTCAAAAATATCATCAACTCAAAATACAAGGTGAAATTTGGAAAAAACACATGAGGTAGACTAGGTTGCCTCAAAGAATCCTTCTTGGATAAAACAGGATTGTGGAGATGGGTGTGTTAGGCAAAGAGGCCTTAGTAGTAAAATGTTGTGTGGCTCTGTGCCTTTTCTGTGCTTCTTCACTGCATTTTTAAAGGCAAAATTTAACTTGACAGAAAAGCAACCATTACTGTATAGCCGCCAAAATTGTGGTCCTCTTACTACGGACATTTCTGTGTATAAATTTCTCCTTTGGATTTGCTTCTAAATAAAACCAATAAAGATGATTCATAAGTACTTGGTACTAATGGCTATGGAATACTTAGCTGAATGGTTCTCTGAGATTCAGTATATTCAGTTGTTAGTGTTGAATTCTGTATGCCTTCTCTAAAAAATATGAGCCAATTCTCTGAACTCGTGGCATTAACCATTTCATCGGAATTAACATACTTCATGGGAAAGGTTAATGTTCTAAAGACCAATCAGAATTTCCATTTCAGTTTGGTCTGGTCTCTTGGGCCTAGGGCAGGATCTCAGTCCAAACCTGTGGCTCCTATACGTTGTATTTAATAAGTTCCACTCTGGAACATGTGCCTTTGCAAATTCTGGCACTTAAATTGTTGTCAAAAACAGCATCTCATACTCAGCTGCCCCCAGCGACTGCCACTTCTTTCCAAAAACATTTAAAATCTATCCTCAGTTGCCACTTAAAAATATAGGAACATAGAACATCCAGCAACAATCAGCCAAACCACTTTATGAGAGAATGCTGAAAGTTCGTTACTGACCCTCTCTTGACTCTTCATTCACCATACTGTGGCATGATGTAGTGAGATTAGATATACTAACTCACAATCGTTGTTTAAAAGATGCTTTCCTCCCAAAGTCCTGTAATCCCAGCACTTTGGGAGGCCAAGGTGGACAGATCACCTGAGGTCAGGAGTTCGAGACCAGCCTGACCAACATGGTGAAATCCCGCCTCTACTAAAAATAAATGAAAATTAGCTGGGTGTGGTGACATGCGCCTATAATCCTAGCTACTGGGGAGGCTGAGGCAGGAAAACCACTTGAACCTGGGAGGTGGAGGCTGCAGTGAGCCAATATCAAACCACTGTACTCCAGCCTGGGCAACAGTGTGAGACTCTGTCTCAAAATAAATAAATAAATAAATAAAATAATAAAAGATGTCTCTTAAATGAAAATAGTTGTTTACTTTTATTCTACCCGTGCCTTTAGTGAACAGGTCACTCAGAAGTGAACTCCCACTGTCAGGTTAATTTTATTAAGTTTTTAGATGTTTTGAATGAAAATACGAAAACCCTGCAGAAGTGTTTATCCTTTACTGTTAAGAGGGTGTCATCTTGAACATACCCCCCTTTTTTTTGGTTCAGTACGCCTATTCAGGAAATGTTCACAGGGTCTGTGAAGGAATTCTGGAAGGTATACCACTAAATGGCACTGCTTGCTTTGTTGTTACTAATTGTATACATGGTTTTTTAGAATTTATGCATTTATCAAGTGATCGTTTTTTTACATCTTGTCTTTTGATTTTCTGCATTCGATTTGCTAGAAGTTTAAAAACTAAACAAAATAAATAAATAAATAAACCTTGCTTGGGTTGTAAATAAGAGTTAGGCTTGCATTAGTCTATGCGTATAAAGTAGGGAGATTTCTGACACCTATTTGGGGCAGAGAAATGGAACCCCTGAGGCTGTTTAAAGGTAAGAAACACATGAAGGACAGCAAAAACAAGCCCTAAGATTTTTTGATTAACTTCCTGATTCATTATGTTTTGAGTTATAGATACAAAGTTACTAGCTAGATAGCTCTGTTTTATTATTTATTTATTTATTTTATTATTTACTTCTTTATTTAGAGACAGGGTCTTGTGTTGCCCAGGATGGAGTGCAGTGGCATGAGCATAGCTCACTGCAGCCTCCCACCTGGGTTCAAGCAGTCCTCCCACCTCAGTCTCCTGAGTAGCTGGGCCCACAGATGCATACCACCACTCCCAGCTAATGTTTTTTTTTTTGTAGAGACAGGGTTTTGCCATGTTGCCCAGGCTGGTCTCAAACTCCTAGGCTAATGTGAGTCTCCCACCTCGACCTCCCTAAATGCTGGGATTACAGGAATAAGCCACCATGGCTGGCCTAAGATGGGAACTATTTTAAACCCTCCTATGCCTTCCTTTGCCTGGGAGGGTGGTTTACTGAACACTCTGATATCATTTATTATTGAATATCCCCAAGGGCCATCAGTAGCTTTCAAACCTGGGTACACTTATAGAACCTTTTGAATCAT